TTGGGGTAACTGTCTTAACTAGTAACTTAATTTCCTTAATATCCTATATTTTTCCTGATGCTTATATCTTTTGTTGTCCCTTTTTTCTTTCTGATGTATCTGGATAGAGGTTTATCAATTTTATTGATCTTCTCAAGGAACTAGCTCTTGGCTTCATTGATTTTTCTATTGTTTTCCAGTTGACTGATTTCCACTCTTAATTCTTTTTTTTCTTCTTCTTCTCCTTACATTGAGTTTTGTTTTTCCTTCTTTCTTTAAGGTTTTCTTTTTTTCTGGTGGTTGCTGAGGTGAAGATTTTAACAAGACATTTCTGCTTTTCTAAGGTGGAAATTCACCACTATAAGTTAATTACTCCTTAATGTCCTTACTGCTTCTGCAGTATCCTACGTATTTTGAAGTGTTTTCACTTCCAAATGTTCCAGTTAAAACTGCTTAACTTATATTTATATTTTCCCTTTTTATTTCTTCTTTGGATAATGGGTTATTTAGAAGTGAATTATTTGGCTGCTAGATATTTTGTGATTTGGTAGATTGTTATTGATGCCATTATTAGTAGAAAAGATATTTTTAAATTGATTGGCAAAATTTGTAGCAAAGGGGACATTCATACATTATCACTGAGTATAATATTTGGTACAACTATTATATTCTACTAGATCACATCAGGTACAATTTTACTAAAATTGCGTGTTCTACTAGATCACATTAAATACAATTTATATTTGCAAAACAATTTTACTAAAATTGATAATAAATACTAAATACCAAACATTAATCACTAAAATTGGACATATATGGATACAAAGACCAAATCTTAGCCATTGGCATATCTGTTTAAAAAAATCATAAATATATGTACCCAGAAAAAATGTTCACAGTAACATTATTTGCAATAATTTAAACCCCTACACAATCAAAATGTCAATAATGGCATGGAAGATTTTACCTATGAAATTAAATACGATGATAATTTTTTAAAAACTCAAAATGAGTTTTGGAGTAATAGTCATCATAGTATCAGGCTTTACAATTTCAAGAGTCTTGAAACCTTTTAAAATTAAAAATAAAGGACCACACAGAGCTAAATTAACTTCGAAAAAATAAGGGTCATAATGAAGTCCTTTCCCTATTAGGCTTTAGCATGTGTATTATATGATAAGGGCAGTATGATAATGGATTAGGAACAGATAATCAGACAAAGACATACACAATTTGGAGACATTTATAAGTGTTTTATGTAGAAAATATATGGTCTCACAAGTCAAAGGGTAAAGAGTTTAACTATTTATAATGTAGTGTTAGGAAAATGGGTTTGTTACATGAAAGAGAGTAAAACTAAAATTATGCTGTTTAAAATGTCTGACCTAGGATTAATGTAAAACTTGTATAAAAGCAAATTAAAAAACATGATGTATAGAAATATGCAAAATATTTTTATGTCTTAGGAATGGTTAAGCACTACACTAAACATGCCAAAATAAATCACAAATCATACGGGAATAAATAATAAGTTTGAATTAATCATACTAAGGTTTCACTGTCTAAGTCTAGAGTTTCTGTTCAATAAAACCCAACTTGTGCAAATTTAACAGAGATTTAACATATTAGAATATATTTGCAAAACATAAAATCAACGGTGAAAGAGTATGATACAAAAGAAGTCCTAATTAAAATGGACCAAAAAGCAAAAGAAACAATAGAAAAATGGACAAAGTCAATTTGTAGAAAAGGAAAAGTAAATCATTAACAATTAAAGAGACAGTCAACTTCTTTAGTGTGTAGAATAAGTAAAACATTAGTAAGGTGCTGCTCTACATATATCAGTGTGGCAAAAAGTGAGTAAGGTTGAAACTGAGAAGTTTTCTGAAAACAGAAAACTATCTTGCCCTTCCTGCAGGAATGTACACAGGTGCAACCCTACTGGCAGTATTAGATAGTTTAAGTATTAGCATTCATGGCTCAAAAATCCTAGAAAGATTCTTATAAATTTCCCAAACAAGCCAAGAGTGAGATTTTAATTGCAATGGTACGTGGTGGTAAGGAGTAGAAGGCAGTGTAGGGGCACATTATTGAGGGATAGATGAAACACAAACAGTGAAATACTTTCAGGAGTCAAAAGCCAAAAAGGCTACTTGTATGGCAAGCAGTGTGAATAGGTCTTTAAACAATGCTGAGTAAAAAATCACGACAAGAAATATCTATAGCAACATGTCATTTACATTAGTCAAATACACGATCTACGTATTTTAAAAGAATAAATACAATTTAAAGATACATTCTATTGGGTACGAGGCTTAATACCTGGGTGACAAAATAATCTGTATAACAAGCCCCCATGACACAAAGTTTACCTATACAACAAACCTGCACAAAAACAAAAGTTATATTAAAATATATGTGTGTGTATATATATATTCTAAGCACTCAGGACAGCAGGGAACATAACTAGGGAATAGGCATAAGAGAAAATGAATAGATACATAAAAAATTTAATCTGGAAAGTGAAATTAAATCATTTACTGCTATAATGCAAACATTTTAAAAATGCAAAAGTTAAAATTTATCATAAAATCTAAAATTGCACAGAACCAAGCATACATAATATTTTTAAAAAATTTACTGCATTCTGGCCGGGCGCGGTGGCTCAAGCCTGTAATCCCAGCACTTTGGGAGGCCGAGATGGGCGGATCACGAGGTCAGGAGATCGAGACCATCCTGGCTAACACGGTGAAACCCGTCTCTACTAAGAAATACAAAAAATAGCCGGGCGAGGTGGCAGCGCCTGTAGTCCCAGCTACTCGGGAGGCTGAGGCAGGAGAATGGCGTGAACCCGGGAGGTGGAGCTTGCAGTGAGCTGAGATCCGGCCACTGCACTCCAGCCTGGGCTACAGAGCAAGACTCTGTCTCAAAAAAAAAAAAAAAAAAAAAAATTTACTGCATTCTATCCGGGAAACAAACCTTTCTTGAACCTGGTATTTGTAAGCCAACATGTGTACCTGTGAGATTATTGTTTATTGCCTTCTAGAGTACACTCATATTAATTAGCACAAACATCAGCTCAGTAAAAATTAATAAAGAAATATGTTTAACTGCCATATGTTTCTATTAATTAATGCATGCCATTGCAATTATCCGTAATTGCTAAGCAAAGATCAGACAATTACCCTAATCAATATCACAAAGTTAGACTTTCCAATTAATTGAAGTTTATGAGGATTTTGAGCTTGGATTCCAGTCATGTCCACAGAGTTTATAAAATAACCTATGCTAATCATTCACACCCAATACCTCTGAGAAGAAATAAAACTCTGGTAGTAAATCCAAGACTCAAATGCAATGTTGCCTGAACTTGAATTGAACTCTGATAACTATTTGTTGGGTGGATTTGGACATCAAAAACTCAACTAAAGCTTTGTTTGAGGAGCCAAGCAGCCGGAACCACTGACTGCATCTTGGGGATGCCATTCCCATCACAGTCTCGTAGACTTGAGTATTTATTATGACAGTTCTTGGCTAATGGTAGTAAATTATTCATAAAATGGGGTGACATTCTGATTATTTTAGAGGGTGACATTCGGGTCAGCTGAGGTTTTAAGAACAGCATCACTAGTTTCAAAGAGGTGTGAAGGTGATTTCCTCTTTTGCTACTATCTTCCTCAATTCAGCTCATCTTCCTCTGTTATTTTATTCGTGATAAAAGAGAGACCTTTTGCCCTGTCTCCTGCTAATTCAATGCCTGTGTCATACAGGTTATCTATTACTACTCTTTAAAAGATAGGCTCTACCTCCTCATGCTTAGCCTTTTCTTCATACAACAAAATATTTCAAGTGGGAGTCACCTAGAACCAAATATGAAAACAAGCCCATAAATCATAAATACCAAAAATATAGAAACAATTATGTAAGTAAAATAATTTGTATGCAGTTTACATTGAATTTTATGAATTTTATCTCTTGTTTACCGCAAGCCCTCCAGCACAGAGTCCTAGTTTTGTCTGTGTGTGTGCGTATCCATGTGTAGTGTATTGTTGTATTCTGAATACACTGAGTTATCTCATTGGTTTTGCCAAAAACACTCATGATACATATTTCTGTCACTATGGAGGAACAGTTAGCTTTTTGAGTAATTGTGTCAGGGATGCCCAGGACCATTGTCGGGTTCAGAGATTCACCACAGCGACTCACTGAAATCAGCAAAGCTGTTACACTCATGGTAATAGTTTATTACAGTTAAAAGATACAGCTTAAAAATAGCATGAGAAAAGACACTTATGGCAGATGGTCCAAGAGAGAACAGGAACAAGCTTCTAGTTGTCCTTTCTCACTGGAATCACTGAAACAGTGCTTAATTCTCCAAGCAACGATGTGTGACAGCACATGTAAAATGGTGACAATCAGAGAAGTTCACCTGAACCATGGTTCCCAGGGTTTTTGACTTATATGACTTATAGTTTTTTTACCTATATGACTTAAAGGTAAATCTATAGGCATGTGGCTCTCATTTGATTCACCTTAGCTACTCCTACCCAGAACCCCCAGAATTCAAACTGGTACAGTGTGACCCAAAGTCTAGGAACAGAAAACAAGCATCTACCATTAATCACATTGTTAGCATAAACTGGCATTCCCAAGGTCTCAAATCTATAAAAGCACTCTTTGTATTTCAAAAGATTCCAGGAGTTCAGAGGTTATCTTTCAGGAACTGATCAAAGGCTGGTCCTGAAGACCTTTGGAATCTGCAGTTTGGGCAAGCTAGACCTGCTGAGTTAACCCTTTGCTGCACAATAATATTGAAGAGTATAGGCATCTGGAATAGCTACTTTTTCTCCATTTTTCTCAGTGGTACCTGTATGAAAGGGTAAGGTAGTGGTAATTGGTAAAAAGGGCTCTCAAGGAAGCTTTCTTTAAAACTATTTTTCTTAAGTTGCACATATACTTAGAAGGATGAAAACTGCAATCAATCACACTCTATCCAGCTGCCCTTTAGCTACCTCTCTTACCGTAATAACTTCTGAAAAATTCAGTGGAAACTTCCAGAAGAACAGGCACTCTAGAGTATGCTCCTTGCTTTCTCATTGGCCCACTTAGTCTTGAATCTCACGTTACCCAGTGGTCTACATGGCATCATTTTCTCACTGAGTGCCTACTCTTGGCACGATAACTGTGTTTGCTGAATCTGCTTTCACTCCCTGGCACCCCTCCACTAACAATTTGGATGTAATGGTGTAGTGTGCTTTGCTCAATTTGATGGCAAGTTTACAAGTGAGGCTGCTGATTATTGCATCACAGTTCAACAACTCTGGGTGATAGTGCACAAAAGCATAGCCTTTCCATCATGGCCATGGCATCTGGTGGGGTACACAGGCACAGACAAGCCATTGGCGGGAGGACTTATTATTAGTCATGGCTGATCCTGATAATCTAGAGCCCAGAGTGTGGGCAAAGCATTTCTTTCCTTTGCCTTCCTGTCACCTTTCAGTCTACACACAGCCTCCTTTTAGTGGATTCCTTAAATTCCCTTATTCTTGGACCTCCCCTCCGTTCTTTTACCCTTCTGGGTTCTGCAGAGAGCCTAGGCTTCACCCTTATAACTACTTCAGTTGAGATTACTGAGCTAGGTTTGCTCCTTATATCTGAGACCAGGGATATCAAGTGATTGTTCATTGGCTAGATTAGAGACCGATTTATGACTTTATTATTATTTTTTAACCTAATGAAGATCTTTACCTTCAAGAAATTACAAGGAAAGAAACATCTTCAGCTAATGTTGATGATCTCTTAGGGAAGGAGAAAGATAATAGTGCTCTGTTTTATATGTTTTGTTTCTACTCTTTTATTTGTAAACAAGTATCTTGCCTGTGTTTACATATGCACAAATTTGTATGGCTGTATATTGTACACATAAATTAGAAACTCTGGATGTGGCTCCCAACAATTTGTGTTTTGACATGTCCTTCAGGTGCTTCTGAAGCACACTCAAATTTAAGAACCACTACACATATGAGTTTAAAAATTAGGCATTGTAGATTAATATTATTGTGATGTTTTATGCTTGAGAAATAGATACACAAGTAATAGAGATAACTTGTGATTCTGATACAAGAGATAACTTGTGATTTCTGAATATCTAGAAATCAATGAATGATAGCTACAGATAATATTGTCCCCGTCTTTCAGTTTAAGCAGAGGAATGTTTCTTGCTCTCACCAAAATTTCTTCCTTGTGTCAAATAAAGCAGTTGATCCATGAATAGTTGGTTTTGATTGGGGAGGGTGACGTTTTCCTTCAGCAGACCTGATGACAGCAGCTCTGTCCCCACATTTTTTCTAGATGCAAATTATGTGTAAAAATGTCAATGAAAACATGTTTCTGCTTCAGATATAACAGATTTGATTCTCTAGATAGATGGAAACTAGGCAAGGTCAGTGTATCTACTGTTCTATCCCTGCACCAAGTACTAAAAATAACTGGACTCAATATCAAGAGAACATGTATGAGCACAACAGAATATTTTTCAATAAATATCTTTCTAGTCTTAAAAAGTATCAGACAGTAAGCTAAAATTGCTCTTATATATATTATATCTGATCTGTACATATCCAGTCTATCAACTTGCCTATCTCATCGTCAGTTTATGGGATAGAATGAAAAATATGATCCCCAAGGAAATTCAGGTCTTAATCCTCAAAACCTGTGAATATGTTATCTTACGCCGAAAAGGGGAGAGAAGACTTGGCAAATGTGATTAAGGTTATGAACCTTGAGAGTGGGAGATTATTTTGGATTATCTCTGTGAGCCCAGTCTGATCACATGGCTCCTTTAAAGTGGAGTAACTGTCCTGGCTGTAGTCAGAGAGATCTGTGACTGTGGAAGCAGCCCCAAGAGATGTGATGTCAGTTTCTGGTTCTGCCATGTCGGGGCTATGCTCAAGGGCTAGCGAAAGTCCTCTAGAAGTTAAGAGTGTCTCTGAACTGATAACTAGAGCCAACAAGAAAATACAGACCTCAGTCTCTGCATTTGTGTTACTGGACAATTTTCACCAGTGTTACAATATATAATTCTATAGTAAGCCACAATGTTTATTATGTGGAATTTTCACGTCTTTCTTCTTCAAAATTGACACCTTTGTTCTTGGCTTTTCATTTTAATAAACATGATAATATTAATTGTTTACTCATACCGAATAGGTTAAAAATAAATCAGGGGCATTTTGATTGAAAATACATTGCCTTAGCAGGGCATGGTGGCTCACACCTGTAATCCCAGCACTTTGGAAGGCCTAGGCAGACGGATCACGAGGTCAGGAGATCAAGACCATCTTGGCCAACATGGTAAAACCCCATCTCTACTAAAAATACGAAAATTAGTTGGACGTGGTGGTGTACGCCTATAGTCCCAGCTACTCGGGAGGCTGAGGCAGGAGAATCCCTTGAACCCGGGAGGCGGAGGTTGCAGTGAGCCAAGCTCGTGTCACCTCACTCCAGCCTGGCAATGGAGCAAGACTCCGTCTCAAAAAAAAAGAAAAAGAAAAAAAAGAGAATGCATTGCCTTTGTAGGTTGATGTAGGTATAACTGGCATGCACCTTTTCACAGTGTATCATCCTAAAGAGAAACATGGTGAACTTACTCATTTACCTAGGCCTTTCAAAGATCTTTCCATCAGTTTTATATTTTTCTTCATGAATTTTTTTACACATTATTTTTGTTGGATCATGCATTTCTTGAACATTGTTTTTGTAAAATATGAAATTATTATTCATTTTGTTTTATAAAAGCAAGTAAAGCATAAATTTCCTTCTGAATACCATTAAGCTTCCATCAAAATTCAGTATCTGCACCCATTAATTACCCTTGCTTCCCTCTATGGTTGAACATTATCAAAATATTTAAAAAACAATTAAAAAAATTATGTAAAAATTATGTGAAATTTGTATTGCAGAGAATTCTTGCCTTGTGATTGTTTGGCTTGCGGGTTTCTGACTTTATGATAGTTTTATCAAGGTGTTAAATGTGTTTTCAGCTTATATTTTTGACTTAAAATGGGTTTATCAGGTCACAACCCCATCATAAGTTGAGGAGCATCTGTATTTTATTATTTTAACTTAACTTCCTTTTTAAATGTGTATTTATAAATTTTAAGTGTATTGAATGTTTTGGTATTTAAAGCAATGAAGTATACTTAAATTTTAAATTAAAAACTGTAAATAGCATATCTGGGAAAATATTCCAACACAACTTATTATTGACATGTAAGAAACATGAGACACCTGAATTTAATAAAAATTGGCAAAGATATGTATGATTACCTATCAAAAGAAGAATTAGTGATCCATATTATTCAATTGGTAATATCAATGCTAAATGAGTACGTATTAATTTGGTTCATTGGAAAGTTTCAGGGAGATACTGGCCAAACAACTTGAAACATCTAATGTTAAATTTTCATTTCAAGTACAAGAAAACTCCTAAAATACTCCATAGAAATATTCTACTGTAGTAAATCAGATGATCTGAATTGATGGAAATGGCAAACTATTGACTAAAATCTATTTCAGGAAAAAACAGCTGTTGAAGTCAGCTGTCCTGGTATAAATAAAACAAGTTAAACCATAAGGGCAGAATCTTAGAAATTTGGAAACATAATTATGCCATCTGGAAATAAATAGACTAATCAGAGAATAGAGATTTGGAGAAAATAAAATTAAAAATAACTTGAAAAACAATAACAAATATGTGTTATCTATTCTCGAAGTCCAATTTGCTTACCGCTTATAAGATCACTATGTTTCTGTAACTGTATTGTACTGTATCCCCGTTATCTGTATTTGTCTATTTATTTATAGTATACATATAGTGGTTTTCTAAGCTATATGTTCCATGCATAAACTAAGTTACATTTTATTACATGACCCAGGTTTATTGTTCATAAATCAAGTTATAGAAATGAAAGATCTCAGAAATTTTTTATGTGGCGATCAGAATGTTGATATGTGTGTGTGTGTGTGTGTGTAGAGAGAGAGGAGAGAGAGAAAAAGAGGGAAAGAGAGGGAGAGAGAGCACAATCTACATTGTTCTCTTACTCCATGCTGAAGTGTTTTTGAAAACATACTTGATCTTCAGGATCAACTTTACTAAGCAAGAAAACAACCAAGAAATGATGAAGACAATTATTCCTACTGTGACAAACAAGCATGTCATACAAAAATGAGACTGTGCCTTTAAATTATTTATATATTTCTGTGTGTGTATATTATGTCATCTTCTCAGAATGGACTGCCCTGATTATCTTACCTAGAGCAGCTGCTGCTATACTGTCCAAACTCCTCAACAACGAATACATTCTATACCTAGGGCACAATTTTGTGTTGTAAGATAAATAATCATAGAATCATATTAGAAGTTGTATAATTGCCTATGTAATAAAATTAATTTGAATGTCATTTATATTTCAGTAACCTATTTTTCATTATAAGGTCGGAAAAACATTTCGCTTGTAAAAAACATAAGAGATATGAACATAAGAGATATGAGTACAAATCTAAAATTTCTCTGTGTCATACATTTTCTTTAATGAATAATCGACATTTCTGTTATATTAATAAGGACAATATTAAATACAACATGCTAAAAAATGTGTGGCAATAGTAAACATGATTTCAGTGAATCTAACAGAATTGAAAATGCATAAATTGACATTCTTATGAATACTGATTACACACACATATGACTAGAAATGGGCATGATTTTCAGATCACATAAAAACTTTGAAGTTTCAAATTATATTCTGTGTATACCTAATGATGTTTTCCATTTGCAAGACAGAGAAAGCCAGACAAAGAGAGAGGAAGAAAGAGAAACAGAAGAGAGATAATTTGATTCAAGTCTCTAACTCATTGATCAAAAATAGGACTGCCATAAACATTCAGAGAGAATTTCTAGTCAGAATTAAACCAATAATGACAGTATTCTATAGTCATTTCAGCTCCTAATAAATCCCTTCTCCATGAATGCTCATAATTCAAGTCTGTTGGTATTAAAATACAGAGCTAAATTTTTTCAAAGAATATTACCATTGTTTTTGTTACATTTGAAAAAATGCTGTATTTCAATTTGAAGAATGCAGAAAATAAAGCTCTTAAATGTTGTCTGTCAGATATGTAGCAGATCTGACACACAGTCCAGCATTACTAATATTGCTTCACAACTAACTATATTTTAATAATTTCTAAAAGCAATAATTAT